GGGATAGGATGGCAGTAGGGTGGGGCCGGGACCGGGGTGGGACCGAGGTAGGGAAGGGGTGGGGTAGGGTCATTATAGGGAAAATGGGTACGCGGGGTGGGGGTTGGGTGGGTAGGGTAGGGTAGGGTAAGGGGTAAGGTACGAGGATGGAGGTAGTGGAATGGAATCGATATCGGAGCGGGACCGGATCCACCATTAGGTGTAAGTATGCAAATTCATTGCAGCGACACTGTAACATCTGCGTTTTCCAAATTTAGAAAACTAGTAAAAGTCACTTCTCCAAATCATTAAGGAAAAGAGAGACATGTCTCATTTTTTTCGTCTTGGAAAACGATTTAGTACACGCGTTTTTCTTTTTTCCTTTCTCCAGTTTTCCAGCAATTTCTTTGGTAAACATGTTTCCTGTTTTCTGTTTTCCCGTTTTCCAGTTTTCTGGAAAACTGGAAAATATCTCTGTTAGTACAGGCCCTCAACTTTTCGCGAGAATTTCCGTGCTACATAGGTATCACGAGCATGATCTCATTGTCACGAGTTTCTAATCTTGTTAAAAATAGGCTTAATGCTTTGCATACCAAGAACAACCATGTTAGAACGCAAAATTACATATGTACACGTTTTTTAATATGTGAAAAATTGTAAACTGTTCACTAGACATTTGCGCACTCATTTATGTAATTTGAAGAGATGTTTATGTTTGAATGCACATAATAACAATATTTGTAACAAACATTAATTCTTTGTGCTGATCATATATTTCTTGTTTATGTTGGATGTTCTTTTCTCTGGAATTGGATTTCTTCCAACATAGTTTCTTGATCTGTTGTCTAACTTAGTAGATAAAAATTCTTCGTGAGAAAGATTTTGAAATGCATAAATAAATGTGAACATTTTTGTATACACTTGATATTACGGAAATTGTCCTAAATAGGACTAATGAGTTCCTAAAAAGCACAAATAGGACTACTACTTTTAAAATTCCCTAAATAGGACTAAACATTGATTTTCTACCCTAAATACCCCTAAGAGTATTAATTCATAATGAAATGCTTTAATTCATAATAAAATCATAAAAAACGTAAAAAATATTTTAAAAACGTAAAAATTATAAAAAATTTATAAAACATTTATAAAATAAAAAAATTAATTTTTTATTTTTTAAATTTTTTTAAAAAAATAATAAAAAATAGTAAAAACCCAAAAAAATGAAAAAAAATATGGATACCTTTCCCACCGCCTCCTGCCGCCTCCCAACACCACCACCTCCGATTGGTGAAATTTCTTCCACTTTTGGTAAAAAAAATGTCATATTTTTCTGAAAATGCCAAAAAGATGGCATAATTACTCTTCAATATGCCAACATTTTCATTGAATATGCCATCATTATGGCATTATTTAAAATGTTGGCATATTTTTCTCCGGTGATGGGAGTTGGTGGTGCTGGGGGTGGCAGGGGTGGTAATGTTTTTTTTTTTTTTAATTTTATGATTTTTTTTTAATTTTTTATTTTTTTTAAAAAAATATTTTTTTTATTTTTTTTAAAAAAATATTTTTTATTAATTTTCTTTTATTTTTTTATGATTTTTAATATTTTTTTCGATTTTTATAACTTTTTTTATGATTTTATTATTAATTAAAACATTTTACAAGTTACAAGGGTATATTTCTCCAAACACACATAAATAGTCCTATTAAGAGAATTTAAAAAATGTAGTCCTATTTGTGCAATTTTACCACTTTTTAGTTTTATTTAGGGAATTGACTCTTTGATATTATAATTTAAAACAATGGAGATTTTTGGTAGGATATAAAGGTGTATACATGTAAAACATCGATTGTTCCTTTGTCAAATGGATTTTCATGTTTTTCTATAAGTTTATTAACTAACTAAGCTAAGTTTATATGATAGAAATTTTGGGACAAAAAACATGAAATCTATTTTTTTACTAATGATAAAATAACATCAAATAACATCAAATAAGTGATCTGTATATATAATATAAATAAATATAAATATTAATATTAATACTTAATATAGAAAAAAGTAAGGCAAGGTAAAAGGATAAAAAGAATTAAAATGTAAACCAAAAACTGTACTTCTGTTTTACAAACTTCATAATTACCCATAGGCCATAGCTTCCGCTTATGAAAATAAGAAAAATGCAACATCATTTGTTTCCGAAGAAAGAAGTGTTGGATGAAAATCATGGAAAACACATAAACAACTACTACTCCGTATGTAATAATTTAAGGAAATTTGATTTTCTTTTGTATGAATTTCTATTAACCTTGTTTAAATGCATGTTCAAAAGAAATTCCTTTTTACAGACATTTTTTTTTAGGAAAATGATGTTTGTACCCACTTTTATATCCACTTTTTGTTTGTGATGTCAATCAGTTGTGTTTAACACATTTAAAACGAATGTCAATGGGATCTGTGTTTAAAAATAATGTTGAACCAAAACCAACTGTTACTCGTATCAATAAAATTTTATTTTTATTAAATAAAAATATTAGCAAAATGTGATCCTTAGTATACAAGTAGTTTACAAATAAAACAAATTAAATCAATGCCTTTAAAAGTAATTTAACAAATTATCAGCCGATTGTAATCAGCCGTTTAACCAAACATTGTTTTATAAACAGCTAATACTATCAGCTAATCAAAACAACTAACAAAATCTGTTGTCACCTATCAGCCAACAAAATCGGCCAACAGCCAACAACTAACAGCCAATTGCCAAACACCCTATTAATGTGGAAATTTTCAAAAACGGGTACCAAAAGTGTTTTCCGCACAATAATCGAAGGATTAAAAGTGGAAAAACTCAAAAATGTCAGCAGCATAATAGTCAGAGGATTAAAAGTGTCAAAATCTCTTTTTTTTATGTGTAGAAGTTTATACTAGAAAGATATCAAGTTTAGAAAAACCTTATTGTTGGGATGTCTATTTGGAAAAACGTCAAATAATCTAGTAGCATTTTAAGTTCTAGTCTTTTAGGATGCTGTCTTTAACCACTATGCATTTAATTTTAGTATTAAATTAGTTTATATTTTGTATTACGTAGTGTAACAATACAAAAGCACGGGGTCACAAGGAGAACAATTTCCTTTTACGTTTAATTTAAACTAGTGTTGATCTGTTATACATTTAATGCATTCATTCAATCCATCCATTCATGCTTCTATTCTTTTTGTAAAATGTGAGAAATTTATGTTTTATTCTTCTTTTTGTAAAGTAGAGGGAGCATGTGTGTTTTTCCCTATTAGATGAACTAACATTATTTTTTGTTTTTATATATTCTAAAAACAATATGTGCTCAAAACACGTTTAAAGCGTGTGAAAGTTAACTGTCAAGCAACTTATAGATGGACTAACATTATGAGCCCGTTTGGTAGCACGAAAATCGGCTGATTTGGCTGATTCTGCTGAAATTTATGAAGTTCTGGCTGAAGTGGCTGCATTTGCTGATTCTGCTGATTTAAGAAGAAATTATGTTTAAAATATATTTTATTAATAAGATAAAGAAAAAATCACATGTAGAAATAGCTAAAATGGTCATCTACAGTAACTTCAGCCAATACAGTCAGAAAAGTAACTTCAACCTTACCTTTTCTGCTTATTACACAATTCAGCATGTGAAATCAAAAATTACATGTTTGGTGAAAAAGTTGGTTGATAAGCTTGATTAGTCGAAAAACAGTGTTGTCAAACGGCCTCTAAGTAGAGGGAGCATGGGTGTTTTTCTCTATTGGATGGACTAACATTATTTTTGGTTTTTATATATTCAAAAAAACAATATGTGCTCAAAAACACGTTTATAGCGTGTAAAAGTTAACTGTCAAACAACTTATGAGGCCGTTTGGTAACATCTTTTTTTGGCTTATCAGGCTTATCAGCTAACTTTTTCACCAAGCACGTAATTTTTACTTTCGCGCGCTGAATTGTGTAATAAGCAGAAAAAGTAAGGTTAGAGTTACTTTTCTGACTGTATTGGCTGAAGTTACTGTAGATGACCATTTTAGCTATTTTTACATATAATTTTTTCTTTATTTTATTAATAAAATATATTTTAAAAATAATTTTTACTTAAATCAGCAGAAACAGCCAAAGCAGCCACTTCAGCCAGAACTTCATAAATTTCAGCAGAATCAGCCAAAACAGCCGATTTTCGGGCTACCAAACGGGCTCTATGTTTCGATGACATTACTCACACTCTCAAGGAGAAGATCACATTTTCTAAACTAACATCAAGCAATGATTTTGACATTTAATAAAACAAATACTCCCTCTGTCCCTAAAAGAAGTTCCATTTCGCTTATCGAGGGTCAACTTAAATAACTCTTAAACTCTTACTTTTTGTATCAAAATTTTATAAAAGTTGAATTATTTTTTGCAGACTTTGTAGCGGGTTTAATGTAGTTTCTAAATATGTAAATTTTATTTACTAAAAATAATCCGAGTTTTCACATTGATCATTTAACTTTATCTTCGGTCAACCTTCGTAATCCGCAATTGGAACAACATTTAGGGACGGAGGGAGTATTATACTACCTCCGTTCTTTTTTATTAGTCCTTTCATTTTTGGGACGTTTTTTTTTTATTTGTCTCCTTTCCGTTTAAGGAAAGTTTTTGAGAAAATATTCCCACTTTTATTACTTTTATCTCACTTACTTTTTACAAACCATTTTCTCTTTCCTACTTTACCATTACTTTACTCTTCTTAATACACTCTCTTTCTTACTTTATCATTACTTTACTCTTTTTAATATACCATCTTTCCTACTTTATCATTTACCCTACACACTTTATTCTTACCCTATTACTTTATTATAAAAAAATCCCGTGTCAAATCACTAATAAAAAAGAACTGAGGGGTACTCCGTAAGAAAAGCGAAAACATAGCGAAAAAAGCTGACTATGGTAATGAAACGGTGAAATAGAAATAAAGTAAATTATAATCATATAAATAATCAAATACTATCTATGTAGTATGGTGTTACAAAAAAATAGGAGTAATGATAAAGGAACTTCGCCTGCTGCCAATGCGAATGAAGTTAAGAGCCAAAAACCTTAAAACCTTTTATCAATAATTATTATTGATACCTGAAAGCCAAGTTTTATCTTCAATCAGTTCGATAGACTTCCTTCTGCGAAGAGTTGGGGATTGAATGGATCTTCGTCCCAGGCAGAGGCAATCCTTCTCTGGTTTCACCGAAGACGAGGTGCTTCTCTTCTCTCAATCACCCTAGAAATGCTTCATCATTCAAATTTCTGACCTATGGTTATTGTCTTTTTGTAATCTCCCATCACACGCTAAGTTTCCATTGCTTTCTTACAAGCGCTCAAATTTTTCAACATTGGTAGAGAATATATCTTAGAGATTTTTTAGTAAAGTTAAATTGTGAAGTGTTCGAAAGAAGGAAGTGTGTTACTCTCTAATTTGTTAAAATGCTGGATTGAATAAAAGGTGCATTTTGAGTATTGGCTTTTCCATCAGCTTGGTTATTGTATTTTCTAGGTAAGCTGGATTCACAATGTCAACCTGGAAAGAATCATGAATATCAAAATCCTTGTGTAGTAAACTATGGCATGCATACTAAAAATTAGTTTGTAATATATGTTGCCTACATTCTGATCATTAGTTTGTCATCTTAAAGTATGCAATATATTGTATTAAACTGGCAATTGGTCAAACTATCAACTTTTTAAATTTCAGATAGCTGTCAGGCTCTGCTCAGATTCGTAGTCTGCGTTTGGTTCTTGCTGTTGAAATGAGTGATTTGTATGAAAAGATTATGGGAAAATCTTTGATTGATTAATTAGTATAAAACTATGGAACCATGGTGCAAACAAGTTAAGGTTTAATTTGCTATAGAAGTGAACGAGTTAGGGATATGCATACACACTCATATATGTGTATCTACACGCACATATCTATATGCATGTGTGTATGTAGTATATATGTTGTTGCTAAAGAGAGTGTCATAGACTCATTTTTTATACGTCCGATGTACTTATTTCTTACATTCACTTAGAAAGCTAGTAAGTAGAGTAATTTGTGTATCAAATATAAAGCCCTTTAAGATTTTACAGATTCCTCTTTATATGCAAAAAAAAAAAAATCAAGGGGTGATCTGTAAGCTGGTTAGAAAACAAGTTTCAGTCTGTCATCCTATAAGGAATTTAGTTTCATTTGAAAGAATGTTTCAGTGGTCTGTTTTTTTCCTTCTGGCTTTCCAAATAGCTATTAACATTAAATTATGTGAAATTAGTTACCATGTAGTTTGAGAGTTTCTACTTTATATTGGCATGCTTTATTCTTTCACCCACCCTTGGTGACATTTTTAGGATTCAATCACCCACCCACCTATTGCTTCACATATCCGAATGAAAATGCAACATTGTAACCAATTCAAGGCTAATCATATTTTATTAACCACACTCACTGAAATTGGGTTTGCTTCACATTTTCTCCCCCTATAAATCAAACAGGTCCAGAGGATGGACTCCTTACTTAAGGAATCAAATGAAAAGGTCTTAGACCAAGACTTCTGTAAGAAATTGGCAAAGGGTTTCAAGTGAGTTTTTATTTAATATTTCATCCAATTTCCTTTCATTTTCTATAATCAAAGAAACAATTTTGAAAAATGAATTTTGTTATCTGTCGCTTCTTGTACCATGCATTCAGTCACTCCAAGGGTCGAGCTGGAAAACCTGTTGTGAAGTGGATGGAGGTATGTATGATTATTTCTTGATCTAGTGACGGTCATCTTTTGTATTCTACTTACTTGTGTAGTTTGTAATGAATTTTTAGATACAAAAATGGTTTGAGAACAGGCAGCAAAAGTGCCTCCTAACAGATACTCCTCCAGATTCCCTCAAAGTATTGCCCGATGTCCCAGACTCACACCATCCAGAAAATGAAAAAGAATATTCTCATATAAAAAAAGTTATCTCCTTTGGTATGGTATTTTCTGTTTCAATAGATGTACTAATACGCTGTTAGCCTGTTAGTATGTTTTTACTATTTTTTAAGCCTTTATTTGTTTTTTAGGGAAAGGCTCAAAGGCTGCATTATTTGTGAAGGTTTGAGCATTGTTGCAAAATAATGCTGTTACATAATTTGTATGGCTACGTTTATATGTGTTCAGATGTAGGTAAAAGTGTACTGCATGCAGTAAGACATCAATTAAGTATACAGTATTTGCATTGAAAGAGTTGTGTTAAATTGGTCTGGCATCTGGTCTTTTATGCTACATTTGCGTAAACCTTATCATCTCCAAGGTTTTAACATTAATCTCATTAAAAAGAGTTTTACATATGATTATCACCAATAATTGTTTTGCAGTGTGATGAGAACTTAACATTTCCAAATCAGAGACATCTTAGTATATTTCCTTATATCTATAATGAACACATTATTAGTAGCCTAAATGTGGGGGACAACTAGTTCATTCTATTTCTGTTTCAGTAAATTACTCTTGCTGCCCTTCTATCTGTATTTAATTACAGCTATTGTGATACTAACTCAGTGCTGGCAAACTTTCTTCCAGCTGAAAAAGTTCCAGATCTGTCAGAGTTAGAATTCGAAGCTAGATCTTCGAAAGACGGGGCATGGTAAGCCTACATTATCAAAGCAAGAAGGTGTTGGTCTCATTTCAGTCAGGAATTATTAACTGGGTACATAGCCATTTCAGCATTACCTCTCGCATGCAGCATAACATGCATTTGAACCTTCATTCTTAGAAACATGTTTCCACCTCATCATTACATTTGAAATGATGAGGTATTCATAAATTCTTGTGTGTGTATCTTCTCAAATGTTTCTAGAATGAATAAAACTAATTGAAATTTGAAATGATATATGCTCATGTCTTATGTTATTCTTACAATCTTTTAAAATCTCAAGGTTTGTTAATAAAACTTTAAGCTAGATGCAAAAAAGAAAGAAATAATACACAGACTTACGCGGGTTAAGATCTTAATGATGAATCATGAAGAGTACATCCATAACAGGGATAAAAGTTTTATTACGAGAGAAGATACAAAAATGGATATAGTGTCTAGGCCTCTAGGGTTCAGAGGAGTCATCTTTCAAGTGGTTCAGAACTGTGTTCTTATTGGTAATTCCCATTGATTTTAATGATCATTTTGTGTGTGGAAAATTGACAGGTATGATATTGATTCTTTTATCTCACACAGATATTTAAGCTCAGGGGATGCTGTAAGTAACTAAAATTTCCGTGGGCTGCCTTCTGATTTTGCAACAATTCATCCAATGCCATATATATTGCAGGAAGTTCTTGTAAGGTTTATTGGGTTTGGGGAAGAGGAGGATGAGTGGGTAAACATAAGGAAGTCAGTCCGTGAACGTTCTATTGCTTTGGAGCATTCAGAGTGCAACAGAGTGGTGATCGGAGATAGTGTTTTGTGCTTTCAGGTACTGTTTTCTGCCTGAGCGCTCTTTCCCTAGTCAGTAATGCGTTAATCCTGCCGGCCCTGGTTTTCGGGTTCCACTTGCATAACAGTGATGTTGTTGTTGGAGCATTCCCTTTGAGAACTTTGGGACCCTGTTTTGTAATAGTGAACTTCGTTGATATTGTTGTTGATATTGATGAAGTTGTTTAAAATTTTGAATTTTGAAAACATATGTTAAATACGAAGTATATATGATGGATAAAATATAGAAAAGAGACATATAACGCTAAATGATCAAATTCAGTAACCTCACTGTTAGATACACAGATTTCGTAACAATAGATCGATCAATATTATTGAGCTCAAAAGGCAGAAACGATGAAGACGATACCAGACAGGGCACTTCGAGAGGCCTCTACTCTCCAGAACCTAATTCCCATTTCTAAAATCTGCCTAACGACCATCTTCTCCCCTTTCCCTTCTTATAATAAGGCTATTCTCAAGGGCTGGCCCAAAATCATAACATAAATGGCCCAACACCCTTATTTGTACACTATTACATTATTTATTATAAATCTATTATTCTTATTATTATAGGCTGTCCATGTCCCTATCACTCACCTCCAGGTCTATTTTTATTATTATTAGGCAATTAGCTTTGCACAGTCATAAATTAGACTTTGGTAAAAAAAATATGGGTGATAAGCCGAAAAAGAAGCTGCTAAAGGGCCACTAAATAGCATTATAGCAACACACGATTTTGTATGTCTATCCACCCCCCCTTCATACATAAAATATCTGAAAGATGCTTGTCAGAATAAAATTTTGCTTTCAGTTAGCTGGCCTCTATTTCACACAATCATATGATGCAGGAGAAAAAGGATCAAGCAAGATACTTAGAAGCGAATGTCACAGAAATCCAAAAGAGATTGCACGATATAAGAGGCTGCAGGTGCCTATTCGTGATCCGATATGGTCATGATAACACTGAGGTACATGTTTGTTTTCCATTTGAATTTTACAGATCAAATGTTTTAGCTTTTCAGTTACCCACTATAAGATGTTTCTTCTGCAGGAAACTGTTCGATTGAAAAGATTATGTTTCCGGCCTGGCATACTAGCCCGCCTGCCAGTGATTTAGCCCTGATTCACAAAATTTCAACATCTGTGCATAATAGACATCCTGAAAAGTTTTCACTTTGACCTGCTAGTCTGCTTCAGCGAGCCTCCTATAGCTGTTTTGGAGGGGCTATAAGTTAGTTTTGAAGAATGATTGATAGCGTGGACTTGTAGCCATTGTGAGAAGTGAACTTTCATCTTTTTGCCTACTTTAACTGCCCATGCATGGGTGGGAAATTCTACTAGAATAGTTTTTGAATCTAGTGGCAGTCAAGTTGACTGAAAACAGGTTGGGTTTCAAACCTAATTGTGTTCAAATATTGGCTGCTAATTTGGGTGGTTGCAAGACCAAAATGACCCCTTTATAATGTCATTATTATGATTAATTCGTCCGTATTTTTTGTTTGTCACATTAGTCTTTTCACAAAGTTCAAGTAAAAGTGATACTGTAGAAAAAGTAGGATAAAAAGGAGTAAAAGGTCAGTTTGGTCCTCGAAGTTGCAAAAAAAAGGGTCAAATAAGTCCTTATATAGAAGATTCTGTCCGGACGTGCCATTTGAGGTGGCTCCCGGTAGAATTTTTTGATGAAATTTTTTGAGCATCTTATTCATTAAGTCTAGTTTACTCATACCAAATTTCAGTTAAAAATTCAATCAGGGAGACATTCAAATGAATTCTTGAAGATAACTGCGCTTTTAACGGCACAGTTATCTTCAAGAATTCATTTGAATGTCTTCCCGATTGAATTTTTATCTGAAATTTGGTATGAGTAAACTAGACTTAATGAATAAGATGCTCAAAAAATTTCATCAAAAAATTCCACCGGGAGCCACCTCAAATGGCACGTCCAGACAGAATTTTCTATATAAGGACTTATTTGACCCCTCTTTTGCAACTTCGAGGACCAAACTGACCCTTATCCCGATAAAAAAGTATGAAGTAGAAGATGGAAAATGGAACACCATGGCAATTGAGTATTTTTAATTGAAAATCATATCAACAAATGAATGTGATGCAAATATTTAAAAAGCAAAATGTAGCAAACATTAAAATATGAAAAGAAAATTATTACTCTGTATTATTGTAAGGTGTTAGACGGTATAACCCTCCGAAATTTTTTTGGGTCCTTTTGTATATGGGCCGCGAGTTTTGTACTGGTTGGGCCGCGTGTCCTATTAATATTGGGTTAAGTTTTACTCTCTATAAATACAAGCTCTCTCCTTGTAATCATCATCAGAAAATAATAGTAACATCTTGGTTTAGTAGTGCCCCCAGACGTAGTACTTTGTGGCAAATTGAGTTACCAAATTTCGCGTGTTCTTTCTTATTGTTCTTCGTATTGCGTTAGTTAAATCTTAACAATTATTACCACAACTATAACTCCGTATTATTATAATTATTAAAAAAATTATAACAATTTCATACTTTTCAATCATTGCAAATATTTCATAATACTAATTATTAACTAAATATATCTATCGTTGATTTCATCCTTAACGGTCTCTCCCTCTCTAGGGCTTTGGTGTCTCCGCTTTCGTCGTTTTGACGAAGAGTGGTTGCGATGAAGATTCTAGACCGAGCGAAGGGAGTCTAGCTTCAAGCTGAGGTTTGCAACCCTTCTGTGGCAGTCTCGGTTCGTTCCAGCAAGGACGGTGAAGGGTTGCTTCAACGTGACGACGGGTTTCAGACCGATCCAAAAGGGAGGAGGTCAATGGTAAACATTGTGTATCAATACAAAAACATGGCAATCAGAGGGGATATTGAGGAGTTGAACTTTGATGACGACGGATTCGGATAATCAGCGACAAAGAAAAGGCGGGCGAGCTTCCCGATGGTACGGACCCTTCTGATTGATAGGAAGATTAAGTTTCAAATCTTCAAGGAACTTATGGCTTCTTTGGGGAGACCATGAAAAGGTGTGTCAATCAAAGAAATAGGCGACAGAGGGTATCTTATCACTTTCTGTCATGTTGTGGATATGAGACATGTTCTTGAGATTAACCCATGGTTGTTTGAAAGGAATCTGTTGATTCTCAAGGAAGTCAAGCCAAAGCATATTCCGCTCAAAGTAGGTTGAATTCTGGGTGCAGGTTCATAACGTTCCTTATGGATTTATGAACTTAGGCACTGCTACGAGGGTTGGTAATTTTATTGGTAATTTATTAGCTACGATGACAACCAATTTGCAAAAAGTGGGAAACGTATATGCGTGTTAGGGTCTGTATGATGTTGGAAAACCCCTGAATACTATAAATTTATAAATGTGTGACATAAATTTATTCAGTTTGAGTAGTAATATCAATGATTAAAGTCCTTCCCAAAGACGTTTTCAGACTATAATTACGAGGTATAATTCCAAGAAGGTTTTTTTATTAGTGGAAGCAAATTGAAAGTGAATTGCTAGTCACAAACTCACAATGTTTGATACACTATAGAATTTTGTAAGATAAGTTTCGACTCAGCGCCACATTAAAGATACACATCTACATTGAATGGATTAATTTTACATCGTCTCAAATTCGTTTACTTGGCAATGCACTTCTAATAGTTGATAGCCTTATTAATGATGCTCTTACCATTTTTATTCCCTTTCACTAATAGCCCATTTTACACCTCCACTTAGAATCCAACCTTATCATATTCAACAATAACCCATATTCAACAATAACCCATAATATGGGTTATTGTTTCTTTTTCTTTCAAAAGAAAATAGCCCATACTATCAAATGGCTAATTATCAACAAATGTACCCATACTAATTGAAATCATAAAAAACATGATTTTTTATGTATCCACTTTGCATGATGGTGGTAAATCTTCACAATAAGTTATTTCTAGGGTGATATCTTTTGATAATATTTGGTGGCAAATGTTGGAAATTTTCCATAATTTTCTTGTACAGCAGGAACCCTGGATTAACCGTTATTTGTGTCTAGGGTCATAGTAGGTGACCATTTTGTTTTTGCCCAAAAAAAATGAAGCCCCATTAATTAAGAATCAGAAGATTACGAAATCATCGTCCCACCCTATCTGTGGTCTCATTTTTAATATTGCCTCGCCATTTCTATCCCCAGATCTCCATAGCCCAAACCCTACCGTGTCTCTGTTTAAATTGCACGGTTATTTATAGTATTACGAAGAGCCGGGAAATTACACGGATACAAACTGTGCGTAACGACGGCGATCGTCAGTCACAGTACTGGAATCAGGGGGAGCTGTCATTGGACTCGGCCTACCGAACCTGACTACTTACTACCTGGACGGGGAAGGCAGCCGCCGGGAGGTAGAACAGTGATAGTAATACTATTCGTTAGGTGTAGGATGCTATAGTGGTCGATGATGGTGGAAATAAGGAGAGCGAAAGTGAGGCTGTGAACGTAACGACGAGTTTCAAGGGAGATAATAGGACACGACAAGTTGGGGTCTTAAGGAACTCAATAAAGTTTTTGGGTATTAGGCGATGGACGAGTACGACAGCGGTGGGAGAAGTGGGGATAAGGATTTGGGCGCTGAGGAAGAAGGGAGTACCGCTCCCCTCCCAGAAAGGGTATACCATTTTAAAGTTTATTTTTTGCATTGGAAAATCAAACTTTATTTTTGTATGTTATTAAAAGTTTATCTTTTCACTGATTTGTGTTCTGATAGTTTGCATTTTGCATGCCATGAAGAAGAATATTATTTCTTTTCTATGGTAACAAACATGTTTTCAAGAAAGTTTCTTCTTTCACATGGTGAAAAAGTTGCTTAATGCCTAATAGTTGAAGTGATGAACAATTTAATATGTATACATATCTTGTTTTACCAAGAAAGATACGTTTTTTGGTTTCTTGTTTTTTTATTATTGCCAATTTATTTTTGTTTTATACAAAACAGGTTCAGGTTGGTGGATCTCCTGCATATAGGATTGATAAGAAGCTCGGGAAAGGAGGATTTGGTCAAGTGTATGTTGGCCGTCGAACTAATCCTCCAAATCCAACTGAAAGGACTGGTCCAGGAGCTGTAGAGGTAAGATTCTACAGTACTCCTTTTTTACCCAATTAACAAATCAGGGGCTTTTAAAAAAATGTTTTAATGGGTTAATTGTACTTGTTTAGGTAGCCCTAAAATTTGAGCACAGAAGCAGCAAAGGCTGTAATTATGGACCACCTTATGAGTGGCAAGTCTACAAGTAAGTATGAATAATCATTTTATTTTGAGAGTTTGTGAATAATCATTTCTGGTTGTTGGTAATACTGAAGTGCTGAAATCAACATCCACTACTGTGTTTCAGTGCCCTTGGTGGTAGTCATGGTATACCGCGTGTTCATTATAAAGGCCGCCAAGGTGATTACTACATTATGGTATGTAAAATGTTTCAAAGTTGCACATAATCCATATTAGTTTCAGTTTTTAGTGTTTGAGCATCACAAGTGTTGTTAATATAATTTCAGGTAATGGATATGCTTGGTCCCAGTTTATGGGATGTTTGGAACAACAATTCCCACACGTAAGCTCACTTCTCAAAGCAAATCCCAGCAGTTTTTGCACATCCATCCGGTCTATTCTTTTCCTACTCCTCTCATCTATTACAACATGCTCATTTGCTTAAATCAGGATGTCAATTGAAATGGTAGCTTGTATTGCCATTGAAGCAATCTCAATACTAGAGAAGTTGCACTCTCGAGGGTATGTTTTCATTCATCACTTAGAATTGCTCTGTTCTTCTTGCATGTTGGTCAAACTATAATTTGTTACTCCGTGTCTGTTCTTGTCTGCCCCAAATGGCAGAAGCTGGGGCTAGTTAGTAGTCACTATGAGATTTCCTCTCTTTAGAGAAGCTTGTACTTATATATTTTGTAAAAGCCTTTCTTTGAATACACCCATACACCCCATGCCTTCGTCACCTGGGCCAAAATCCAAATTTCAAATTATAACAATTTGTTGTCAATGGCATAAATGGCGATCACCATTTCTCGCCTTTGGCGATTCAGGGGGTCTTCGCCACAAATTTTGGCTATGGCGCAGGGGTTACATGTTGTGTTGCCAAATGTGCGCTATCGCCTCGCTCTCGCCTCGCTCTCGCCATTTTGCGCCAAATAATGGGGCTATCGCACGCGTCTGGGTCGCGACTTCGGTTTGATGGCCGCAGTCGCTGTAGCTGGTCGCCGTCGCAGTCGCTGTAGCTGGTCGCCGTCGCAGTCGGTGTACCTGGTCGCTGTAGCTGGTCGCGTGGCTGTCGATTGTTGTTGAAACTGGTCGCCGACTCTAATCGCTTGTCATCCACGCAGACTGCTTGCTTCGTGGTTTTAGTTCTTCTCTTTTTGAGATTGAAGTCTGGCAAAATTACTTAAAAGCCTTTCTCTAAAACCCGTTCTCTTTTTTTTGGTAAAGTTAAAAGCAGACAAGCAGTTCTCTGTTTCTCTTTGTTTTTCACATGCTCTCATTTTTTGTGGGCCAGTTGACTGGAAGGTTGAACCATATCAGTTATTTAATTTAATTTGGAATATTTTTTGGTGCTATTTTGACTATTCAAAAATTCAACTCTTTAATTGGTGTATAAGTCATACACGTATATTGTGTATAGGTAATGTTTAAATTTTTTGATGTTGTGTTTTACTGGTGCGCCATTTTAGCGCCTTTTAGCGCCATCGCCATCGCTGTGTCAATTTACCCTTGTGCCATGCCGGGCGCTGTGCGCCGTGACTACTATGATAACAAATTGTGGTTTCCTCCTTTGAGGTAGTGTATATTTGGGTGAGTAACTGACTTCTCTAAATGTCAGCAGGTATGTGCATGGGGATGTTAAACCTGAGAACTTTCTTCTGGGCACTCCCGGAACTCCTGATGAGAAGAAGTTGTTTCTTGTTGATCTTGGGCTGGGTAAGCTTTAAATTATACTCCGTATCATAGATTATAGCACACAAGTCTGTATTTTTTTTCTTTTGCTTTTGTTTTTGTTTTTGTTTTTGTTTTTGTTTTTGTTTTTGTTTTTGTTTTTGTTTTTGTTTTTGTTTTTGTTTTTGTTTTTGTTTTTGTTTTTGTTTTTGTTTTTGGGAGCTCTTAATATTAATATAATGCTAGACCTTTTGCGCTTTCTTTCTTTTCACTTTCACTTTCAGCTACAAGGTGGCGCGATACTTCGACAGGCTTACATGTTGAGTATGACCAGCGTCCTGATGTTTTCAGGTATATGATATGATTGAATCATTATTCAACTTGCTTTTCTTTTGCTATGATCAATTCAGTTTACCAATTTAATGACAAAAAATATTAATTATTGCTTCAGAGGGACAGTTCGTTATGCAAGTGTTCATGCTCATCTTGGAAGGACAGGAAGCCGAAGAGATGATCTAGAATCTCTTGCTTACACACTCATCTTCCTTCTCCGAGGCCGGCTTCCTTGGCAGGGATACCAGGTTGACATTTTTGTACTTTGGTTGCAGGAGTTATATTGTACAAACGACCATTTAATCTTAACATTCAACTTGGATGATATGCATTAGGGTGAGAACAAAGGCTTCCTAGTCTGCAAGAAAAAGATGGCAACTTCCCCAGATGCACTCTGCTGCTTCTGCCCTGCTCCTTTTAAGCAGTTCATTGAATATGTTGTGAATTTAAAATTTGATGAGGAACCGGACTATGCTAACTACATTTCACTTTTTGATGGAATAGTTGGTACAAATCCAGACATCAGACCCCTTAACACAGATGGCGCTCAAAAGGTACGTGATGTGCAGATTTTTTTTATGTTTCTGCTGCACTTAGAACCTGTTCTCTTCTCCTGAAGAAATGTTTAATGATCTGAATTTGTTAAGATTGGGTCTGGTCTGTATTGTTCTGGTCTGATTTGGCAGCTTCTTTTTGGTGTGGTTGAACCTTTCTTGTCTCGCCTAATATTTATGTGAATGAGTATGGTCCTGTCTAATTTTTTTGCCTGGAATATACCATACCGTCTTGTTCCTGGACTATTCTGGTCTGTGTCTGAATTTTTCTTGTCTGTGCTTATCTTATCGGTTCTGGTCTTGTCTTCTTATTACTAAAAAAAGTAATAAGAGGAAAATAAGGTGAGGAGAACAACACTTTGTATACACACTCTTACAGTCTTACTTATGCACACACTATGTTAAGTGTTAACTGTTGGGTTCTTGCTGACATTTTGTCTCCCTTAAAATATGCATGTATGAAGCTCATTTGTCAAGTTGGACAGAAGAGGGGACGATTGACAATGGAAGAAGATGATGATGAACAACCCAAAAAGAAGGTGCGCATGGGAATGCCTGCAACACAATGGATCAGTGTTTACAATGCTCGCCGCCCTATGAAGCAAAGGTGGTAGACACTTCTGTGGAGTAGTGAGAATATAATCTTGGCAATCCTTAATCTTACCATTTATTGATAAAAACTGTTTTGTTATTTTAGATACCACTACAATGTCGCAAATGTAAGGCTTCCTCAACATATAATTAAAGGAAACGAAGATGGCCTTTTTATTAGCAGTGTTGCTTCCTGTTCAAACCTGTGGGCCTTAATTATGGATGCCGGAACCGGCTTCACTGATCAAGTTTATGAATTATCACCGCATTTTCTTCACAAGGTTTTCATTCTCCATTTCTGTACTAATTTAATACACACCATTACCGATTACCCCATCAGGTTCACATTAAATGTCGTTTTAGAGTTTTTTTGTTTCATAATTCGTGCCAGTTTACAAAACAAAGACATTAGTTTATGCTTTTTTTTCCCATTTGCGAATATTTTGGATACTTGTGTTGAATTAATCATAAACTTAAATGCTAGTAAGGGGTAATATTGTTAAGTATTTATCCATTTAATATTTCCTTCATCTGCCTGATTTCACATATTGTGAACAGAAGGGAGTGTATAATTGAATTACATTTCATATTTTCTGTTACACACACCACGTAATATATTCTACAATTTATTATGGAGTGTTTAAACTAATTTATTATGGAGTGGCTAACATCTTTCTGTGATGCAGGAATGGATTATGGATAATTGGGAGAAGAATTTTTACATAAGTGCAGTAGCAGGAGCTAGCAATGGTAGCTCTCTAGTAGTTATGTCAAAGGGTTAGTGGAACTGCCTTTACCTCTATTTTAATGCACTAAGAGTACCTAGGTCAAAGTAATTAATTTTCTTCTTCAAATGTTAGGTACACAGTATTTGCAGCAATCGTACAAAGTTAGTGAATCATTTCCTTTTAAGTGGATAAACAAAAAATGGAGAGAGGGATTTTATGTTACAGCCATGGCAACAGCTGGAGGTAGATGGGCAATAGTGATGTCTCGTGGGGCTGGCTTCTCTGATCAGGTTTGATAGACGCACGAATGTCATGGTTTTTGATGTGTTTTGTGGTTCATGTAGAGCTAACCACAGTTATTTATACTTCATAGTATAGTTTGAACCCAGAAAATGTTAGTGGAAGAAGAAAACCTAGATGAGAAACAAAGGAAAGAATTTGTGGGGAAAAAATAAAAGACAGGCTAACAGTATACCAGTCTAACACTCTTATACAATGACTTTTGAATACCTGTAAACATTTTTTTATTTATATTATTTAAATCTAATTATTTTTGCCTTGATTTAAGTGATATTTAGTGATTTTTTTTATCATTTGGCAGGTTGTGGAATTGGATTTCCTTTATCCAAGTGAAGGAATTCATAGAAGGTGGGATGGGGGCTACCGCATTACATCAACTGCTGCAACATGGGATCAAGCTGCTTTTGTTCTTAGTGTTCCCCGAAGGAAACCTGCTGATGAAACACAAGAAACGCTTCGCACAACTGCTTTTCCCAGTACACATGTTAAGGTTATTTTTATGTACTGCATAACAAGCGTATATGTATATATATGATTCTGCATACACACTTGTAGATGATATAATTCTGTTTGCCCACTGCAAGTCTGTTTCGAATTCAGAAAATACAAGGGATAGAAAGTCAGGGGGGATAGACACGATAATTGTAACGAAAGAAAATATGGAGATAATGAAGGATGAAGCTCATACATCATAACATTATTTTAGAATTCTTCCATCATTATTTTTACTCCTATTATATAAATACTATCATCATCACCCCAGTGCTGCAAAGGCTCCCACCTACTGAAAAATAAAAATATATTTGGAGTAATTTTTCTAAAAAGTTCATCTTGTCTCATTTTCCTTTGCATTTCAAGATCAAATCAAACATCAGAAAAAAACATATTGCCATTTTCCATTTCCCTATATTTTTCTAGGATAACCATTTTTCATAAGCTGTCGTTCTAATAATTCATGCCTGCTTCTTTTCTCTGCAGGAGAAGTGGTCAAAAAATCTTTACATTGCATCTGTCTGTTATGGACGAACTGTTTCATGAGCCACGTCTTATTTTTGCAACTAGTGATTTCATGGATGGAAACAGAAGCCTTAGCAGCACAAGCTATTGACATGGATGTGCTTAATGTCAAATCCTCAGAAAATTGGTCACATCTTAACCTATCTCGTCTTGTTTGTCAATTCTTGAAGAGTTTGAGATGCTTTTCTTATCTTATTGACAAATGTGATTACATCCATTATCGTGATGACTCGAGCGCTTTATGGCTGTTTTGATTTTTAGGGGTAGTGGGGGAGGGGGGTAGCTTAGTTTTTTTGTCAATGTTTTTATGTATAGTTTGAACAATAATTAAATTTGAAATGATAGCATAACAGGTGACAATTGAGGGTTTATAAACCATGCAGTTTTACTCTTTTAGATTGTGCCCTAAGTACGGATATGCGTATTTCCTTCTTCCTCAGATTTAATAACACTTGATGTGTATGGTAAGTAACATGTGCATGTGGCGTTGGAATGGACACTAATGGGAACTTTAGTGGGGGCCTCTTAAAGACACTATGGTTCTGGTCCTCGGTCGTGCCTAAAACTGGTGGGCAGGTCATGCGATTCATGTCTCTCTTTTCTGTGTTTAGGAATGGACCCGGTCCTGTTCTCTTTCTGGACCTGCTGGTACTGAATCTTTTGGAGAGCCTACCTGTAAGTCTGTGACCCCGACCTGGTGCGGAACTGTCACTGGATAAACATACCCTAGCTTCTTCCTCTGACCCTATACAGGTATATGTCTAGTTGCTAGGGTGTACCCTTATTTGACTGGAACTAGGACTGACCCGGTGATTTCGGTTGGGATTGTGACCCGGAAAAAGACAGGACACAGGAACAGTCCTGTCTAAAGTTTGGGGACTGGCCCGCTTTATTTGGAAGTTTTCTGTTTTTCTAGTTTGATGGGATTGCGACCGAGGGGGGGGAACAAAATCTATAAATGCTTACATTTATAGGGATTTTGACCCTGTATTAAAAAGTGAATACTAGACAAAAAGTGACAACACCCAGTGATGCTACTGCCAAGACACCCTGTTGGTGACTGTCACGATGACGCCGCCGCTGCCAGTGACACTTCCATCGTGACACTGCCCAACATATTGACACCGTTGCCCCGTTTAGAGACATCGTCGCCCTAGTGACAAGGTGTCATGGATCGGTTCTGGGCTGGGCACCGGGTTGGCCCAAACTGGGCTTTTATTGGATGGGTACAAGCCCAGAACCGGCCTGGGATTCCACCGGGCCGGCCCGGTTAATATTTTTCTTTTTATAGCTTTTCTAATTAACCCCCAACCCCCTACCCCCAATTCCCCCCCCCCCCCCAAAAAAAAAAAAAAAAAAAACACCTAGCCCAACACGGATACCACCCAAAAAAATTGAAAAAAAGAAGTTATGGGCCCGGACCGAGCTGGTTCCAAAGGGGTGCAGCCTGGAACCGCCCCGGCCTGGACTCGGGCCGGGCGGCCCGCCCTGGAACAGGCCAGAACCAGTCACTGTTTGAACCAGGTCCGAACCGGGCCGAGTCTAGGCCTACGCCCCCACATACACCTCGAGCTGGTCCTAGGCTTGGAACCGGTCCTGGTTCACCGAGCCGGTCCGGTTCCCGACTGGTCAGACCAGAACCGGGCCAATCCTAATGACACCGCCGCCCCGGCCAATGACGTCGTTGCGCCGGTCACTTGGTCAGTGACATTGTAGCCCCGACCCGTGACATCATCGCCCACGCCAGTGACTGCCACATCGTCTGTACACCACCCAATCCTTAGACGTCGTGAGACTCGTGACCGCCGCTAGAAATCCAAAGTTTGTTTAGCTTTTTCATTGATCTGAAATCCAACCACCGTCTTCCTGAACCTGAAATAAATCAAGTCGCAGGCAAAGCGCAGATCTCGTCAATGAAGACAAACTCGAGCTAGTCATTCAATGATTCAATCAAGTCAATCCGGACAAGGTTGGAGTCATCGTCAATGAAGTCTCACCACCATTGCTGGAGCTCGATGCAGCGCAGATCTTTTGTCGTCGTTGAAGAGTTCCATTGCCATTTTCATTTCGCTAGCATCGCCGACGTCACCTCCGTCAATACTTAGCCATCGTAATGTTCGTTGTGGCTGAGGAATGTTAATGGAGATGAAGGGGAGGGAGGCCCTCTAATGCGAGAGAAAGGGGCGGCATGAAGCAGCAAAGATGAAAACATAATGGGAAAAGTGTCAAATAGGCCCCCCTACTAATACGAAAAAGTCAATTAAGCCCCCAAACTCAAAAAACATCCAATTAAGCCCACAAACTAAATATAACGAGGCAAAACAGTCCTTTTAGCAGGATATTAACCGTTCCCAGTTAAGTTGCATGTGTGGCAAATGATGTGGCATGCTTTTACATTTTCTTTTTCTCTTTTTCTCTTTCTTTCCTTTTTTCTTTATCTCTTTTTAACCGCTTCATTACCTGCTAAAAGGACTGTTTTGCCTCGTTTTTTATAGTTCGTGGGCTTAATTGAGTGTTTTTTGAGTTCAGGGGCTTAATTGACTTTTCTGTATTAGTAGGGGGGCCTATTTGACAGTTTTCCCAAACATAATCAATTAACTTTAGGGGTAGTTTAGTCAATTGATCTGTAAGTGAGTAGCTTTTCTGTCCAAATCAGGTTTCACTCATATTTCCGTCCATTAGAACTATGGGAGTAATAATTAGGTCTTTATTTCACATTTATATCCTATTTACACACACTCATTGCTCTTTTAATTTTCTAATCTACATTCGTATTTTCTAATCTTCATCTTTTATCCTATTTACACATTTCGCACTTTGTTATCTGTCATTTGTTCCTTTAATATAATAATGAGAGATTTTCAATAAAGGATAATTGCAACAATAGGAGCTTAAAGTTTAAATTTTCAAAATAAGAGTTTAAAGTTTAACTATTCTTGTTCTACCCTTTTCCCTGTCCTTCCTAATAGGATTTTTAAATAATCATTATAAAACATAAAAAAATTAAAATAAAAAACAAAAAATCGTAAAAAATAAATAAAAAAATATACAGAACTGTACCACCACCCTAACCACCTTTCAGCACCGCCACCTCTGGTCGCCGAAAAAGATTGTCAAGTTGGGGGGAAAATGTCATCGTGATGGTAATTTTGAAAAGAGAGCTGAATATTTTCAAAGAATAAAAATGACATCTTCATGGTATTTTCAGAGAAATGAAGCATTTTTACACAACATGGCTTGTGAATATGATGAAATAAAGCAAAATGGCTCACTAAACTGTCTGCGCTTCTTTATTATGAAGCAATAGTCAGTGCATGCAATTTTCGACGCGAATTTCACTATTGGTCTTCCGGAAACAGTCTCTCGGTGCTTTAGTACAAGGGTAAGATTGCGTACATCCGACCCCCCTTTACCCCATCGTAGATGGGGAGCCTTTGCGACACTGGAGTAATGATGATGATGATGATGACATTTTTTTTACGATCGGAGGTGGTGGTGCTGGGAGGTGAGGGAAGCAGAGGTAGTGGCGTACATATTTGTTTAATATATTTTTTTTAGGTATTTTATGTATTTTTTTTCGATTTTTTTAAATATTGTTTTTATTTATTAATTTATAATTTTTTTACGATTTTTTATGTTTTTAGTATTAATAAAAGTATGTTTTTTATTAACAAATAAATCTATTAGAAATTGTCGGTTGGGGGTGGAATAGGAAGAAGAGACATATATTACTCCTAATTTGGGAATAAAAGAAGTATAGTTCTAATGTGAAATTTTGAACTAGTCTTATTTAGGGCTAATACATACCCTACATACCCCTATAATTATACTATTACATATTAGTATAACAGTTGTATTATTGTTGTTGTTGTTGTGGCATATTGTAGCGTGCGCGCACACACAAGGAAGTTCAAATATAAAGTATTCCTCATATGAATAATGAGAAAAAAATGAGAAGTAAATTAACCATTAAAATGAAAAAAATAAGTGGATCAGATCAATTTTAAAGTGAAAAACACGGTGGTAAAAGTGAAAATAGTAGAAAGATTTTTTTAAAAGCGACTAGAGAAAAAGCGAATTTGATGAACACAAAAGTGCATCACATTTTGAAGTAAAATAAAAGGTATAAAAAACATTTGTGAGTGTTTTTAATGAAGTGAATGTGCACTTTTACATATTATATGCACTTTTAATTTATTACTAAGATTGCACATTTAGGTTTAGTATTTTGTCACAACAATTTTGATCGGTTCCATCTAATTTTAAGTGATCCATGGTTTGGATCACTTCTTACTTTTTCATGGAAAGAAATCTTTGTATTAGAATCTACTCCTATAGATGTGTGTGTAATTATAGTTTATACATCATATATATCAATACTTACTAAATAGTGTTCTCATAAGAATCCTTTCCTGTGAGTGGTTCTAATGAGAACAATTTTTATTGTGCGAAATGAGAACAAGTTTTAGTCATACATCTTTGTAAATTAAAGTCCAGAAAAGGACTAGGTTGATGGATATACGGCGGGAACACAAATATTTAAAAGATAGCCTTGCATTCTTTAATCTCAACATTTAAAAAAAAGGAAAAATGGACAAACTAAGAATAATCCCAACTATTAGTGATCTGCTTGAAATAATCCAAAGTATCAATTATCTCAAAATAATCTCAACTATTGAAAAATCTTCTCAAAATAATCCGGTGACTTATAATTATATGCAAATAACTTATAATATTTATGAGTAAATGGAGTATTTTAAGAAGTTTTTTCAATAGTTGGGATTATTTTGAGATAATCGATACTTTGGATTATTTCAAGCAAATCACTAATAGTTGGGATTATTCTTGTAAATTATTCCTAAAAAATTCTTTAAATGTTGAACCTACTAGTGCAAAGAATTAAAAGTGAAAATTTGACACTTTTCACATTAAACACCCTTTTTTTTTAACCCAGCCTATTATAATGTAAACATTTTAACCCCTTGGTGAGACATATTTATAAATTATAAAGCATAATAAAAAATGATAGTAAAAAATATTGCCTAGAATAGTCATCTCATCATAATTATGAATAAATAATAAAAAATATTGTGGGATGGAGGAGTATCAGTTAGTACTTCATCTGCCTCATTTTAAGATTCCCACTTTCCATTTTAGACATTTTAGTTAAAGCTTCCAAATTCTATTTTAGAAAATAATTAGCACTTTTAAATGACAACTTAACCATGAAATATTAAAAATATACACCTATAATATCTCAGTTATCACCAATGACCTCATTATATTTATTATCAATCAAGAGAACTTCTTCAAATATACTCGAATAATCTTATTTAATTATTATCTAAATAACCATGCCATTTTCTTAGTGAAAATCTTAAGTTCGAATGAAGATA